AGAATAAAAAATTATAAAAAGTAAATTAGGAATTTAATGTTGGTGATAATTGTGTTTAATTATGAGTAACTTTTGTGGGGGAGATAATAAGGTTGTTGTAACCTACGAGTTTTGGATAGAAGTTGGAGTGAAATTATGCAAATTTGTTGTTAGATTCAATCTTAAGTGTGACACATAAGATTATAATTGATGTGGCAATATATATAGCTAAATGACATTTGACGTGTCGTAATATAATATGTCGCTTTAGATTTAATATATTATAATAGACTACCCTCGGTTATATTGGAGAACTTAGGGGTAATATCTTTTACATCAACATTTTCAAATGCTTTTTGTATATTATTTTTAATTATTAATTAACCTATTACATGGGTTTTGTCTAAAAACCAACATGATAGTTATTTTAAATGAATTTCTAGAATATGGCGCTATGAACTTTTCTATCTTTTTAATTTTTAATTAATATATTCCTTCGATTTTACCTAAAAATTGACGTGTTTATTCTATTGCATGAATACTTCGAAAAACTAGACTCTAACTTTTCATTTACCTATCAACAAACACTCTAACTTCATCGTCATTCTCTTCACAAAAATCCTAGGCAATTTTCATCAAAACTCTTCCAAAATCAACTTGAACATCATCACTTTTCAGCGTCAATTCTTCCAACGTCAACTTGAACATCATCTCTTTTCAAAACTCGTTGAAGTTTTGTCGTCACGTTTGAGATTCATAACTCACCATTAAAATGTTCATAGAAATGTTGTTACACATTATGTGTTAGTTTTAGAAATGTTCATAGAAATAGTAATACCATTAAAATGTACGTAACTCTTCCATATATGTTGTTTTTCTTGAAATATTTCATCGTAAGTTTTTCTTTTTTTTTAATATTTAATCATGTTTATGCGATGTGTTAGAAATAGTAACATTGTGTTTAAATTTGTGTTAGAAATAAACATTGTGTTATTACTTAAGTGTTGTGTATGTTTCTAGTTAGTATGGTACTACAGTCTCTCTCTACTGCATATTTCTACTTAGTATGTTTCTATATTATGAATCATTTTAGGTGAAGTGTTGTGTGATGTGCCTTTGAAGTTCATATTGGTATCTCTGTTATATGTTACTATTTTTCTTAATTTATACAGACATGGGTGATTCGATAAGTACCTCTCATACAACATCTGCTGCAACCTCTGTTAATACAAAAGTAAAAGAAAAACTAGAGATGTCATGATGTTTACCAAGGTTTAAAAAGCCCACGAAAGCGGTGTTTGCTCCCCGATTAATTTTGATCTAAGAACCGGTAAGACTTATTATGAAAGTGGTGATGATTTTAAGGGTTACGTGACATTACAAGGTAGAAGAAAAATGAGTGTTTTAATAGATAATTGGTACGACGTTAATGATGATTTAAAAGATAGCATATGGACCGATATTATTATATTTATTATGAATTTTATGATTTGGTTTACAAGTATATATAATCATTAAACTTTTTGATTTAATACTAATATCAACTTTATCATATAAATATAGGACTTGTTTATTGTTTCAGAAGATAATATGCTGAAAAAGAAATGACTTGCATATGTTGGTGAGCATTGGATGAACTTTAAAACACAACTCACATTTGAATATATTAATCATCCAAAAGATAATGAAGTGCCTCCATACGTGAAGTATTCATATATTGATAAGAAAGTTTAGGAAAATTTTGTAAAGTCTCGCACCGCTTCTAATTTATTGGCTAAGAGCAAAAAAGGAAAAGAGAATAGAACTAGACATGTATATCCACATAGGTTGTCTCGTGAAGGAAATGATAAACTTGAATAGAAAATGATTATTGAAAAAAGAAAACAAAGGGAACTAGAGCTGGAAAATCTTTCTAGAAGCATTGATCGCAGTCAATCTCCACCATCACGCCATGAGAAATAGAAAGAAGGTTCGTCAAAGACTAGGTAAGACAAAGATAGATCTTGCCACACTGACGGCCCAAGGTATGATTCGTGTCTTTGATAATTACTACTCCTTGGTAAGCCGAAACAGTCATCTCCTCGCTTTACCTGCCCCTGACTTTATTAGTATTCAAAATGTGAATAACTGGCTATATGAGAGCACAATGCAGGATGAAAAAGACCAATTTTATGATGGTACAGGTACATAATTCTTTGAGCATGAAGGAGATCAGGTAGAAGAAGCATCGATACCGCCTACTCGAGTCTCACCCCATCAGGAGTCCGGCTCCGGCTCTTGGAGCTTATCTAAAAAAGAATGGGAGTGGATGGAGAGTGAGATGTGTCATCTCCGAAGTGAGCAAACAAGGCAAGGCGAGGAGCAGACAAGACAAGGGAACGAACAAATCCGACAAGGCAGGTTGATCGGTGAGATGCACGAATGGATGCGGCAGATGATGCTGCGCGACCAACCTCCGCAACCATGAACTCTGTGAGTCCTCTGATACTAGTGTTCCAACAGTGAGGACACTGTTGAATCCTAGTGTGGGGGTATTTTATTTGTGTTTTTATGTTATTTGTTTATGTTATTTGTGTGTTTTCATTTCTGTCTTAGTTATTTGGTTATTTAATTTTCAGTGTTAGTTTGAAAACATGATAGCAAGTCCATAGGAAAACCCCTGACATTGAGCAAATAAAATTAATAACATTGTTGGTTGGGGAACTTTTAGTGAAGATGTTGAGTGAGGTGATGAGAAAGTATATAGAATACTCAGAAAAGAACTGTGAGGATGAAATCGAACAATCTTGAGAGATAGGTAAAAGGCGAACACCCTGGGTTTCCCGAATAGGAACGAGTTCGACGTGTAGATTTGTACCATAGTGCTTTGATCTGAGAAGTACCTCTGAGTAGTTTATTTTGGCAATCAGGTTTCATCAATAAGAATCGTGTGTGCAAGGTTAACGAAAAATATTGAGCTAAGGCACAGAGAAAGAAAAAAAAACAAACAAACAGAAAGGGGCAATTAGGCGACTAATCCTTCTAAGTTGGGTAACCCTCACCCGGTTATTCAACCCAACGGCGGTCGAACCTGAAAGCCATTCAAAAAAAGAATAACAGTGCCAAAAAAAGAAAAATGTCGTTGATGAATCTTGTGCACACGAGGAAAATCATAAAAGCCGTATAGTGATTGTCCGAATGAAAGGGAGGAAAATCGAAAAAGAAGACTTAAGTACAAAGCATAGTCGGAGAGGTTACCCATAGGGAGACTGAGGTCTGTGGTTTACTGCAGTCTAGTGTTTGCATGTTACCTGTTTTGAGGGAAAAGCCAAGATTAATCCTAGTGGGACTTGGAATGAGAAGTTCAAGTATGAGTATCATCACCGTAACTCACAATTCTATGGACGGTTCCGTTATGAAAAAGATATTAAGTTCGGTTTGGCAAACTTTTCTCTTGAGGACAAGCAAAAGTTCAAGTTCGGGGGAGTTTGATCGGTGGATTTCACTTGTGTTTTCAAACGCTGTTTGTTGTTAATTTCGCAACGTTTTTATCTGTTTTCGAAGCTTTAGTTATTATTATCTGAATTACTCGTAGGTGTTTGTCTTCAAGTCTTATTTTTAAGTTTGTATTACTTTTGCCGCTGGTGCGTTTGATTCGGTTTCTTTTAGTGTGTTTTTGGCAAGAATAGATAGCATGACAGTCGCACCGCTTTCGGAGGCAAAGAAAAGTCGGAAAAGGGAAGTCAGAGCTACAACACGGGTACCCGTGTTGCACAACACGGCCCGTGTCATGGAGGACACAGTTGGCAGACACGGGTAGACCAAAGCAGAAGAAAAGGGGAATCAGACGTACAACACGGGTGCCCGTGTCATGCAACACGGCCCGTGTTGCAGCCTTGGAGATGGAAACGCGCCCTGAAGGAGTCAGCAGCCCAACACGGCCACCCGTGTTGCACAACACGGCCCGTGTTGTGGCCACTGAGAGTTAAATTGTTATATTTTCTGATTTTTTGCGGTCAGACCTATTTCGAAGGGCATTTGAGACATTTCGCGATGTAATTTGAATTGAGATATAAGAGCCACTTTTTAGAGTCATGGTGTGTATTTTACCAGAGCATAAGGCCTACTCAGATGGGCCTTTCCCTCAATATAGGTATATTACTAACATTGACAGTTAACATAGGTAGTTTAATATCTAAACTACTCTCTTTGGATGTATATATAAGCCAAAAGTAGATATATTTAGTCTACGAAGTATGTTTAGCTTTCTTCTTATATTGAAGTCTAGAGGAGTACAATTGAACTTTTCCAGTTGTAGAATTTGTTGGGCACCTATTAGGAAAGGACGTGCTATCAAAGCCATTGTCGGATGCCGATCGCATCAAAGTACGTAGTGATATGGATAGAGCAAGGGAAGTTCATGTATTATGTTATCAATGTTGATACTTTTTACAGATATATTCCTTTTTATGTCTAACAGGTTAAGAAAGGTCTTAGAGGCGTTAAAGTTGAAGTAACACAAAGGAAGTGTAAGAAGAAAATACCGAGTTTTGGGGTTAACTTCTCAGCCAACAAGAGAACTTGTGTAAGTGGTTTTTCTTAATAATCAAATAATATATAACGATTTTATATCTGATCAATTTTTAATGATGATTTATTTCTTTTTAATGTATGATTTCACTATTCAATATACTCATCTTCCTTTCCTTCAAGTAGGCATCCAAAAGAAGGCTAATTACTTACCTATGGAGGTTTGAAAAATACCTTGTAATTCAAGTAACTAATATGTAGTGTTTTTCTTTATTCTTATATGTTTCCGGTTCACCAAGCATGTAAAATTGTCGAAGGTCAACGTTATACAAAAAGATTAAACGAGAAACAAATTACTTCTCTTTTGAAAGTTACTTGCAGAGACCTCGTGACCGGGAATATGAAATTTTACAGTCGGTTGAAGCACGAATTCTTCCCGCCCCTTGGGTAATGTGCTCCTCCTTCTGGATTCTGTTTCAGTACGTAGGATACTACTCGGCTAGCTCATTATCATGTTCCATGGGATGAAAAACAATTTCACCGCAGATGGAATTCAATCTTTGACAAACAATCTTTTTTATACGTATGCTAGGTGCACACAATCTATATCCATTGGTAAGCCTATTTTCCATTAAAGGGATTTTTTTCTTAAGTTTTTAACATGTTTTGGACAGTTGAAACTTTAACTGTCTGCAGAATTCTTTTCTGTGTAGTTCCTCCAGCATACTATACACATTTAGCCGCCCTTAGAGCACGATTCTATATGGAACCAGAGAATGGCTCTACAGCTGATGGTGGCAATCCTAGTCATAGTTCCAAGGGAACAACAAGAGCAGCTGGAGAATGTGGTGTGAAGCCATTAAGAGAGTGATGCTTTACTGTTAGACTTGTTTAGTTGGCATTGTAAAAAAGTATTCTCTGTCAGTCTTGATTGTAGAAAATTTTGCTGAAAATCCTTTACAACCATGCGAAATATGCTTCATAGCTGAAAGAAAATGAATCACGTCATTGTAACATTTCTTTGCCATTTCTTTGTGTAGATAAACAAGCAAAAATTACTATATGTGCTAGTCTTCCATGGTGGCCTCATGCACAAGTTTTACCATCACTGTATTTGAATAATTTCTGTAATGTTTAACAAACTCATAGCACTATGTCCCACATCGACTAGAAAACAAAAGAATTAACTGTTTATAAGCTTCTGACAGATGAGTCAGCTTGCCGAGTTGGGTGACTCCAGCTTGTAACCCAAGTGGGGGTATTAGGGTGGTGGAACATGGTTCAGACATCCATGACCCTAACACTTCTAGGGAGGGAGCTGTTAACTTATAAACCATAGTCCTATGTCTAGTTGTGTAAACAGGACGCTATCTGGGGGGGTCTGGCTTCATAGAGCAGTCCTTTCATCTCCTGTCCTTGGAAGGTTAATCATCTGGCCAGATATGCTTAGTGAATTCTAGGTAGGGAGCTGTTAACTTATTAACTTACATGCTTACATGAATTTGATGTGTATATATGCCTTTCTTTTGATTGGTTTCTTGCCTTTCCTTGCTTACAATGATATATGTAACTCATAGACATCTTGTATAAACAATAAATGATGTTTTGAATTTGTGAATCCTTGACCTCACTTGATTTTAAAATTTTTTTTAAGTATATCTTACATGTAAGTAAATGTTGAACTTTCAATCATGCCATGAACGTTTTGCTTGATCCTTTGCGTTAACATGTTGATGTTCTTCCATGCTTACATGAATTTGATGTGTAATATATGCCTTTATGTTGATCCTATTATGTTTATATGTCCTTAAGAACTTTAATTTTACCTTTAATGTGCCATTGAATACATGTTTGTTTGTATGAACCTTTGTGGTGTTCTCACTTTGTTTAAGACCGTGATTAAGCCCTAACATAAATGTTTGATTGTTATCAATTTGTATTAACATGTTAAACTTGTACCCTTGCTTATATGTTCAAGTATTTTCATAAACTCTTACCATGATAAGGATATCTTTTTGAAATGCACTTTACATTTGGAACCCATTCTTTTTGCAAATTGTTTTTGATAATATCTATTTTTATTTGTAAAAATAAAATTCCAAAAAAAATATTTTTAATACATTTTTTAATGTCCAAAGTGTGTGTTATTTTTAGGGTTGATTAAAGAACTTCTTTGATTCTTTTGATTGGTTTCTTGCCTTTCCTTACTTACAATGATATATGTAACTCATAGACATCTTGTATAAACAATAAATGATGTTTTGAATTTGTGAATCCTTGACCTCACTTGATTTTAAATTTTTTTAAGTATATCTTACATGTAAGTAAATGTTGAACTTTCAATCATGCCATGAACGTTTTGCTTGATCCTTTGCGTTAACATGTTGATGTTCTTCCATGCTTACATGAATTTGATGTGTGTATATATGCCTTTCTTTTGATTGGTTTCTTGCCTTTCCTTGCTTACAATGATATATGTAACTCATAGACATCTTGTATAAACAATAAATGATGTTTTGAATTTGTGAATCCTTGACCTCACTTGATTTTAAAATTTTTTTTTAAGTATATCTTACATGTAAGTAAATGTTGAACTTTCAATCATGCCATGAACGTTTTGCTTGATCCTTTGCGTTAACATGTTGATGTTCTTCCATGCTTACATGAATTTGATGTGTATATATGCCTTTATGTTGATCCTATTATGTTTATATGTCCTTAAGAACTTTAATTTTACCTTTAATGTGCCATTGAATACATGTTTGTTTGTATGAACCTTTGTGGTGTTCTCACTTTGTTTAAGACCGTGATTAAGCCCTAACATAAATGTTTGATTGTTATCAATTTGTATTAACATGTTAAACTTGTACCCTTGCTTATATGTTCAAGTATTTTCATAAACTCTTACCATGATAAGGATATCTTTTTGAAATGCACTTTACATTTTCAAAATACAAACAATTTTGGGCCTCTATTAGAGTGTAAGACCCATGACTTTTCACTTTTTTTCAAATTATTTTAACTCCTTGGGCCTCTGCTATAGTGTAAGACCCAACCCCTTTTAATTTTCAAATCATCAAAATCCTTGGGCCTCTATCCAGAGTATAAGTCTCATCCCTCTCTTTCAAAAATCATCTTCTGTTTTCAAAACATAGAATAACATGGGCCTTTGCTTAGAGTGTAAGATCCAACACCTTTTTATATAAAATAAATCATGGGCCTCTGCTAGAGTGTACGACCCACCACATTTTATTTTCTTTTAATTAAGACACATGCCTCTATTTAGACTGAAAGACCCAACACCTTTGTGAATTGAACAAAAAACACAAATAAAACATTCAACACATCAATATCTATACTTGTTAATATTCAAACAAGTTTGTTCATATATTGTTAAGTCTCTCTTCACATTTATATCATCCTTAGTTTAGACATAGGTAAGACAATAGGATCTCTTCGTTCACAACTCAGTTCAAACAACTAGTTCCTTGGCCTCCTCTTCGGCCTTATAGAAGCACCATTTCCTCCTCTGGGGATTCATCCAAAGAATCTCCCTAGCAAGATAGCCTCCTCTCAGGCTTCATACAAGGAGACTTGGTAAGTCTCATTTAGGTCCATACAACCTTATTTTGGGCTTTATCTAAGCACCATAGCCTCCTATTGGGCTTCCTACAAGGACCGCCAGGCTTCTTAAAAGCATAAGTCAAGTCTTAGTAACCTCTGCAAGTAAGATCTTTTGGTCTCACCATCCTGGGATTTGTACATGATATAAATAAAATCTTTTAGCCTCATTCATCCTAGGCTTCTTATAAGATACAAATAAAAATCCCCAAAAGATTCACTCAAATATTTAGTATTAAATATGTCTCTTAGAATTTCTTCAACAATCATTAGCCTTCTCTTAGACTTTTTACACAAATAATTTCTCCAGTCAGTCAGCCTCAATCTTGGGCTTTGTAAAAGAAAGATAAGACTCCCTAGTTGAGTCATTTTTCTATCTGTTTTGGGCTTCATATCTTGGGCTTCAATCAAGATACATAATTCCTTCTCCTCACAGATAAGACTTTGAGTAACCTCTGTTGGAAGATATCTCTTCTAATTGCTTGATCCTTTGCATTAACATGTTGATGTTCTTCCATGTTTACATGAATTTCATGTGTCTATATGCCTTTATGTTGATCCTATTATGTGTATATGTCCTTAAGCACTTGAATTTTACCTTTAATGTGTCATTGAATACATGTTTGTTTTATGAACCTTTGTGGTGTTCTCACTTGGTTTAAGACCATGATTATTCCCTAACATGAATGTTTGATTGTTATCAATTTTTATTAACATGTTCAACTTGTACCCTTGCTTATATATTGAATTATTTTCATAAAATCTTACCATGAAATGGATATCTTTTCGAAATGCACTTTAAATTTTCAAAATACAAACGATTTAGGGCCTCTATTAGAGTGTAAGACCCATCACTTTTCACTTTTTTTCAAATTGTTTTAACTCCTTGGGCCTCTCCTATAGTGTAAGACCCAACCCCTTTTAATTTTCAAATCATCGAAATCCTTGGGCCTCTATCTAGAGTATAAGTCACATCCATCTCTTTCAAAAATCATCTTCTGTTTTCAAAACATAGAATAACATGGGCCTTTGCTTAGAGTGTAATACCCAACAACTTTGTATATAAAATAAATCATGGGGCTCTGCGAGAGTGTAAGACCCAACACATTTTCTTTTCTTTTCAATAGGACACAGACCTCTGTTTAGATTGAAAGACCCAACACCTTTGTGTATAGAACAAGAAACACAAATGAAACATTCAACACATCAAACATGTCACATCAATGTCTATACTTGTTAATATTCAACCATGTTTGTTCATATTTTGTTAAGTATCTCTTGACATTTATATCATCCTTAGTTTAGACATATGTCAAACAATAGGATCTCTTCGTTCACAACTCAGTTCAAACAACTAGTTCCATGGCCTCCTCTTCGGCCTTATACAAGCATCATTGCCTCCTCTTGGGCTTCATACAAAGAATCTCGCTAGCAAGATAGCCTCCTCTTGGGCTTCATACAAGGAAACTTGGGAAGTCTCATTTAACTCCCTACGACCTCCTTTTGGGCTTTATATAAGCACCATAGCCTCCTCTTGGGCTTCCTACAAGGACCGTCAGGCTTCTTAAAAGCATAAGTAAAGTCTTAGTAACCTGTGCAAGTAAGATCTTTTGGACTCACCATCCTGGGATTTGTATAGGATATAAATAAAATCTTTTAGCCTCATTCATCCTAGGTTTCGTACAAGATACAAATACAAATCCCCAAAAGAGTCACTCAGATATTTAGTATTAAATCAGTCTCTTCGAATTTCCTCAACAGTCATTAGCCTTCTCTCAGACCTTTTACACAAATAATTTCTCCAGTCAATCAGCCTCAATCTTGGGCTTTGTACAAGACAGATAAAACTCCCTAGTTGACTCTGTTTTCAACCCTTTTTAATCTTTATATCTTGGGCTTCAATCAAGTTACATAATTCCTTCTCCTCACAGATAAGACTTTGAGTAACCTCTGTTGGAAGATATCTCTTCTAATTTCTTGATCCTTTACATTAACATGTTGATGTTCTTTAATGTTTACATGAATTTGATGTGTATATATACTTTTATGTTGACCCTATTATATTTATATGTCCTTAAGCACTTGAATTTTACCTTTAAGGTGTCATTGAATACATGTTTGTTTCTATGAACCTTTGTGGTGTTCTCACTTTGTTTAAGACCATGATTAAGCCCTAACATGAATGTTTGATTGTTATCAATTTTTGTTAACATGTTCAACTTGTACCCTTGCTTATATGTTGAAGTATTT